TACCGACAAAGAGAATGTGGTTATCTTCAACATGACCTTATTGAGGGTGCAGTCAAAACTGCCTAATAGAATACTAATCCGCCACACAAAAATGCGCTGAATTCCGTTCGATCTCGCACGAGGACTTTGATAATTTATTATTATACCTGCAATATCATTTAAAAAATAAAATGAAATGTTAGATTCGAATACATTTCCAATTAAGTGGGCTGATTATTCGTAATTCTATGATTGCCATAGAAAAGTCACTTGACGTTTGCTTATAAAAATCACAGACTGTAAATATTCGGTTGAAGAAGAGTCCATTCAGTGGCAGAAGCAGAAAAAGTTGACACTTCCAAATCCAAATGCAAACGTCTATTATAAAGAACATGAAAGGCTGTTGACGTGGATGAATAGGAAGCATATTTCAAAAAAAGTCTTAAATCGCCTATTGCACACGAACGGTTAATCGAACGACCGACTATTTCACCGATCGGCATACTGGCATCGTTTTGAACGCAGTACCGGCAACCGATCGGGAGACTCGACTCTGTCTGTATACCAGACACACGACGGCGACGGAAATATACCCGTTGGTGTGTCAAGATGCATAGACTTGCATATATTGGAACCGATGCATCGAAATTTTATTTTGACCGGCGCGGCGGTCGGTTGGCAGAACACTGCACCGGTTCGTGTGCAAGAGCTCTTAATGCTGGCATATATGAAGGAAATGTTAAAGGTATTTAGATCTTCTACCCTTTGGTGTATTCATTCAAAACTTCAATCAATACTACGATTAAAAAGTGGAACACATTTGTCAGCATACCTACTCTAAACCACGTGTGCTTGTGAAAGCTTTCAACATAGCGCATTTTTACCACCCGTACGTTGGTAAGGGAGGTGTTGCATTGGGACAAAAAATTACCCGCCACTTTTTTCACGGAGGTACACTTTTTGAAGCACCAGGAATCCGAATCAAACAAAGTCAAAATCGGTCTGTCTGTTGGTTACTCCCATTTCCGCCTAAACGGCTGAACCGATTGGAACCAAATTTGGTACACATATTGTTAAACATAAAAGAAAGAACTGAAAATCTTTTCATATTTTTAGCGGGTGCGGGTGGTATTTGTGCTAGCCACAGCAAATTTTTTCAATACATCTTTGCGAGCATATTTGTGGTATAAGGCAATCTAAAGCAAATAAATAAAGGATTATTTTCTCTCTTTTGCTCTATAAAAGGTGTATTTTCCAAAAATTCTTCCTAATTTAGCGGATAAAGCAGACGGATAGGATTTTCGGTAGGGGAATCTTTTTGCCATTGCGGTCGCATTGAAAACCCGACTCCGGGTCATATTCAATAGCACTGATCCTTGAACTCGTAGAAATCGCTTGGCGAAGGTTGGTCATCGCACAGGACGGAACAGGGGAATTTTTTTCTTTCGTAAAATTCCCCTAAAAAGGGCAAAAACGGAGGTATCATCGATGGTACCTATGTAGCAGGAAGTGGTATAAAACTGAAAATTAGTTGCTCGACGTTAGATACTCGGTATCAGTATTTTATTGAAGGGATAATGACATAGTGGGCTGTGTATAGATGAAAATTTTCCTTTGAGCTGTTTCCTTTGTTTCGCTTCAATTTTGGCATACTATTTTTGACATGTCATGGGATGGTTGGTTTGGACCTGGTTTATGATGCTTGTTACTCAGAATCCAACGCCAAAATGTTCCTTGAATCTGTGGTTTAAAGTATTTCAGGTATGTGGATTACCGTTTCCTAACTAAAAACAATCGCAATTAATTAGTTAAAAACAATTAATTTATCAAGCACAAGTTTACGATCCTTCGTCCAAATGATTTTTCAAAATGTCCACCAGCGTTCAAAACACAGTTGCACATTGGCGTCTTCTACGATCGCATTTGGAATTTCTTCAACATGAATCTAGGGGGGTTAACCATTATTAAACGATCGTCGTAAAACTGTTTAGTATTGAAGAGTGACGTTTGCTGCACCGGCTGCCGCACCATCTTGCTGGAAATACCCTTGTGTCAGTTCGTCATTATGAAGTTTATTCAGGAACGTATTTCCAGTACGCTATTTCTGCACTTTTCCTAGACATGCCAATCTTTAAAGGATGCAATCTGGTTTCTTCAAAATTAGGAGGGTTTACAGTTGCGCACGCGCGATAGACTATTATCATATCCTGATAAATGGACCCATTCGTCACTCAAAAGTTAGATTTGGACAATGGGCAATCGAAACATTTCGAGATCTTTGTGTACTGTGGTACGTACCATAACATAACAATCAAAGATGTGCCCACTAGCTTGATTCGATATCTGCGAAGTGATTTCTTAGGGCTCTGCTTCATACGTTGTCGTACATCTTCGACGGCTTCCACACTTCAAATTGATGGACGGCGCCTGTTGATTCGGCCTTACATATACACTTTTTATTCTCAAAACGTTGGATGATTCAGTTCTTATGACGAACTTAGGTTTGGTAAATAGTGGTCATAGGATTCGTTAAATTGCTATAAGCAAGACCTAGCGGAACATGACCATTGTACCATCTTCTAAACGTGTTACGTTACGATAGTGCGCCATTAATCTAAATGCATTATGTTCAGGGGCAAAAGCTCTTCTCTAACTAAAAAGTAAAGATATATAAAATGCTTCTAGTGTTTTCTCTTATGTACCTACGTAAAGCAAAATGTTGCACTTAGAAAGAACTTTGAAAAGAACTGTTTGTTTTAAAATGCAAGGTTCGGTATAGAGAATATAAAATTTAAAAAAACACGAAAAAAAGCCGTCAATCGATTGTTGTTATACTTCGTTTTTTAACTAGGAAGACGGATTTAAAAACCTGATTTACACTGAAAATGTCACTAGAATCTAGTAACAAAAATAATAGACTCATTTTATACAGGCATGTATTGTGGGTTGCGTGATGTGATTTTCTTTCACATTTGGATAGATTTCATTATTTATGGTTTTGGGTTATTATTTGGTAGGAACTCCGTTATATTATGCATACATCATATTTTTAAAAGCGAATTATAATAAATAGGTAATACATTGATAATAGGTAATCATCCTGCATACATTTTTTGGTCTTTGAAACATTATTTTGAATTGTAATTTTAAATGTTTTTATCAGTTGTAATACTACACAATCCACATTACAATTTACAACAAATGTTAAATTTCAAATTCAGAACAATGGAATTATACTCATATTATTAAACAGCACAGTTCATTGCTTTATGTATAAGCGATTTAGTCACTGTCTTCCAAAAGTTCACTTAAACTGTCATTGTCCTCCGATCCGAGTGAAATAATTAATGGTTCTAGAAGTGTATCCATTAGGTCATCCAATCTACACACCTTATTTTCTTCCTTAATAGGCAACGTGTTGCACACAATTCCGCCAATCGTCAGAGCTCACATTTGCAACAGCGTTATGACCACCGGAACGTTTTGAAGAGGTAACAATCCCAGTACTTCGATATTCTTTAATTATCCAGTATACTGTAGATCGTGAATTCCTAATATGTATCATACCTACTTTAGTAACCAAATATATATCTATATCATTATTTACGTTACCTGTTGTAGATGTAATCTTCAACACAAGCGTAGCAAAATTCATATCCGGAGTATCGGACATTTGTTTATAAGTGTTTATAATAAACTTCTTCTCGGAGACTGATAAAATGACCCAAGTTTTAGCGACAACGTTTTTTCAAAGGAGACAAGCTTGCTTTACTGATACTTGGAGTTGAATCCATCACTAATGCCAGTACACTTAGGGCGCGAAATATCAACTTCAGTTCTTAAAAGAACGGTTTTTTTTTGTTAAAATTTATGCAAATGGACTAAGAACACACAAAAACTCATAAATAAGTACAACAGTTAAGAACGAAAATCGCGATTAAATTTGACAGTTAAATCATGTCATAGCAATTTTACCTGGTGTAAAACGGGCGCAGCGCGAGCCAATAGAAACTAAGATTTTTTGCGGGAACTTTTAAATCCGTCTTCCTAGTTAAAAAACAGAGTATAGGTACTATTGGGACATTTTTTTAAGCACCAAATTCAAATTGTCTGCAGTTTTTTTGGATCACCATTCACCCGGTATACTAATGTTTATCAAATGAGACATTAATGAGTCGTTTTTATAGCTTAATCATTTTGCAAAGTTACATATATGGTAAATGAACCCAACGCGTTTCGACAGCAACGACTCCCAACCGTTGTTATGTAGGGGTGCCATTTAGCTGAACTTGCGCTCATTTATAACGAACGAAAACTCAATTTAAATCTAATTAAGTTGTATGGATGTATTGTTTAAGAGGAAGCTTTTATATTAATGTCTCCACTCCATTATATGGAAGTAAAACGATTCGAATAAAATTTATAATTGTTGTAGTACACAATGTAGATGTAATCTCGTCCGCGCATTGAAATTGTCCGTATTGTTATTATTGTCACAAAGTTTGATTTAAATCATTCGGGATAAATAAGAATGCTCATTTACAACAGGATTATAAATACAATACTTAACAATGGCCTTATTTTTTTCAAATTATTTGATGAGAGATTTCGTTAAATTATACACGCGACTAGAATTTTAATGCGGTTTCCAGTAAAATATTCCATTTTATTTCGATTCAAATAAGGTCGGAGGATATTTCATGGGTATGTGAAAGGCCATTTATCTTTAAAGAAAATTTAAATACATTAGCTTTGTTGTTATATTTGATTTATAACCATTTCCAATTTTCTGTTGTGTTATATAAAAAATTCGCGTTACGCGGGGCGATAATCTTATTATATAATAAATACCCAGCTGACGGATGCATCAAAAAAACAAGACAAATGTACTGTTCTTTCATCTGACATAGAGGGGTCGTGAGAAATGAATAAACGCATCCTTGAAATTTGCACATTAGTTAGCAATCATTAGAAAGTGTAATTGTTTTAACCGGATTAATAATTCCTGTTTATTATTTCAGTTTCCTGGATGTCAAGAGGCCTGCCGTTTCCACGCCGAAGCATCTACGAGGGCGCAGCAAGCTCAACCCGTAATTCACACAAAGGGCGAGGGTGTAATCCGGGTATCTGGTGGGTTAGCAGTTTGGCCTAGGCCGTCATCGTCAAGCACAACTACGCCTCTTATCTACGTAGTTATGCGAAAATCTCAATCTGGCCCTTGGCGTCAAGTTATTCAAACGTTAGATCTCACCACCCGCGTTCCACTAAACTCCGATCAACCCGGGTCGATGTTGCGAGTGCTCGTTGTCGACCCTCAGGGATTAGTAACCATATACAGCCCAGATGAGGCAAGCGTGCGAGACGGTAAAAAGAAAAAGAAAACTATAAACACCGAAATTAAAGCAACGACGAGTAAAAGCACTGGAAATGACCTTATTGAGCCGTGGACGTTAAGAGAAATCTCCCTTATCCACCAGAAAGTTTTAGTGATAGGCGAAATCGCATGGGAACCTAAAGCAACCCGAGGAGTTTATTTAGTAACTTGGGAAGTTGACGGTGGTGGACTTAAGGGAAATTTATTCACCGACTCTACTTGTGTGACCCTGTCCTTATGGCCTGATACTATTTACCACATTCAAGTCGAGTTAGTTTCACGAACACCAGGAGTCGAGAATCTCAAATCGGAAATGATGGATCTAGATACGGGAAGAGCTCAGAAAGTGTCAACTGAAAGTCAAGAGGATCTAAATATGATTCAAGGCGACGTTCGTGAAGACGTTGATTTTAATTCTCCCTTACTCTCTGTGCTCGTTGGTGCCGTACGAGGTGAAAAGTCGATGCACAGATGGCACAGCATGGAGCTCGTTTTAGGATGCAGTGCGGCCATAGTTTTGTTCTCCCTAATTTTATTAGTAACATTCTGGCGGTGTCGGCACCATTCTGCGTTAGATAATCTGATTACTGGATCCACGTCGATACGAAGTCACAAACTCGTAGAAGACTACACCGGATATTCAGGTAAGATGTCATTATTTTAATAACTGTCTGCGTAATGATTGTTTACACGCCACCGTGCATGTCGCTCTCGAGATTCACGCGACAACTAAAAACTGATAATTTTTTATTGCTTGTCTTAACGCACCGGGTTCCCTTTTTTTTTATTATTCCGTCCGTAGGAAGTGGAAATATAGCTTTCATTTTTACGGTATAACAAATTCAGGGGATTTTAAATTTCCGTTGCGGATTTCATATTCATAAAAGCTCGTTAGGTTGTAATACCTCTTTTGCATGCGACTATAACCAAGACGATTCTTTTCAAGACATGCAATTATTTATATTGTTCCCTGCATTGCGCTGTATTTTAAACAATGCATAGAATAAAGACGTAAATTCTACTTAATACATTCTCTTTTCTGATACGTATAAATGATTCCACGTTGAATGCAGTACAACAAACGGTGGAAAATTGCTTACTGTGCTTGGTGCATGTTTATGACCGTCCCATTCTACACGTAATTTTTCATTTTTTACCGTTATCGATTGACGTTGGCGTTTGCCACCGAGAGCTTGCGTCGGATGTCTTGTCTCAAATGCTCAAAGAAGTAGCTTGTACTAGGTTTTAAGTTTCAATTTGCATATATACTCGTAGAAAGCAATTTAGATAAATATTTAAATGAAGTAATCTAGGTTTTCCACGCTTGAATGTCCTAGTAGTCTCGGGTGTGTATTTGCGTGTATAGGCTTTGCTATATTAATCATATAGTCAAGATTTGTAGATATCTGTTCATCAATTTTGTTGAACTGCTGCAAGAATGATGCCGCACGATTTATTTTTATGGCAAGAAAATACATGTCAAAATACAATACATATACAACAAAAACATTCCATGGGATCCCCATTCAGTTGTGGGGTTGAATCTTCGATTTAGTAAATTTGATATTGAACCTTGGTCACTTAAGTACGGACATTGTTTGCCGTGGACTAGCCTATTATTTACCAAATTTTACCTTTTTATGTGGTTTTTGCTTACTGCAGAATTTTCTCTTTACTTCTCTGAAAATTACTACACAATTTTCCAACCCTTTTCCACCTCGTGAGCAAAAAGAACAAAAATACACTAAGTGACACGAAATGTATATTGAAAGAAATTCAATTTTCAAATGGCTACCTTCCTTTACTTAGTACAATGAATTTTTACCCAAAATCCTCCTGAAACCTTTATAATACGTCATTTTGTTAGAACCTTTTACCTTAATCTCTTTTGAAATGGCCACTTCATTTTTTAGTGATAAAAAACTTAAATCCTCAAATTAAACACAATACTGTATATTAATAAACACCTAAAGAGTTTTTTTATTCGCAATCAATGGACCCTTGTATTTGTCTGATTGAACTAGTAAGATTACGGAATAAAAAAATTAAATTAAAAAAAAACCTTGAATTTACATCAATTCAATAAGCTCTTCAAGTTACACATTACAGTTTATGTCAGTTATCGAAAATTGATTGAATCTTTTAATATCAATAAATTAAAGCTTTACGTTTAATTTTATACAAATTCTTTCTACAATGTTTACTTTGAATACATAAACAAAAATAAATGAAACTAACCCTGGACTACAGGTCTTCTCGTTCCTATAAATGATTGATTTTCTTCTAGATACAGCTTGATGGTTATAGTGCAGACGTTTTCTTTCAAGAAAAATGCATTTGGAAAACTCGCGGATAAAGAATTCTGCTGGCAAGGGATTTTTTCTAGAGTACAATTTACTTGAAAAGCTTTACCTGCGTACACTCCGTTTAATGAACTTTGTTACAGTTTAGTGTAATTGGAGAAAATTCTTAATAAGCACATACATCAAAAGATGATTTAAAGACATCTCCCACAATGAGACCGATTGAACTAAATTTATTGTTGAAACTATCGACAGGTTTAGTTACAATGCTGTTTTACGCGATTTAAATATGTATCCCGCGACTTATAATTCGCCACGAATCCGACGCAGTTTTTTCGTTAACGCGAAATGAGGAATTTTCTTGATTCAGTACATTTATTTTCGCCTTCGAATGAAGGTTTGCAATTTTCCACTTCAGAATTTTAATTGCCTCCTCGGTTTAATGTTTGTCCCTTTTTGCAAGTTCTCTTTTAATCGTTTCTCTTAATATTATACTTTAGATTTTATACTTTAGATTCAGATGAACTAACAACTCCATAGAGTTCCATTCACAAGGAGTGTTATATATTCATGGAGGGGGTATGGGTGGGTCCGGCGAATTGCCGACTACGGAACCGAGTAGAAGTGCCAAACTGCCCAAAGTGCTGGGAATTGCACGACAAAGGAATGACACAAACAAAAAGAACCGGTGCTTCAACTGCGGCCAGGAAGAGCAATTCAAGAAAAACTGCAGTAACCCCAAACGATGCACCATGTGTGAGGGAGACGCAAACCTATGAAGCTAGTCAATCGTGAGTCATAAGCGGGTTGTGTAACTAAATAACTAAATACTCGTTATATAATTTTTTCACTATCTGTGCGTTGGTCCAATACCTATATATAAGGTTTTAATGTGTATCACGAACATCCTTAGTGTTTTGCAGTTTTGTATTTATATATCCTGGATATATACACATATAACGGAAGGATACTGAAATACATTTATTGTAAACATTACATTATACAAACGCGTGAGCTCTTTGACTTGCGTTACGCGACTGGTGCAAGTTTGCTATCAGATACCAATTTCCCAAATACATATCATTCCTCCCTCACATAACATAAGTTATTTATTTGCGAACCAGTCAGGAGGTTTTCTGTTTCTGGTTGGGCGCAACATACTTTTAGAGTTAGTTACTGCAAAATCATCTGAAATTGTTTCAGCTTCCCTAATTGGTTCCGGAGAACTAGCCTTTCCAACTGCAGATTCCTCTACTACATCATCGTTAACATCATTAACATTTGCATTTGAATCAACAGTCAAAGGACGTGAATAATAATCTAATAAATCATCATCATCGTAAGAAGGTCCTTTGATTATTTGATCCGAATGTCTTCTCCAGATAAAGTTTTCGTTAGTTAATGTCTTATAGTTTCGAGGTCCGTTTTGTTCTACAATTTCTGCAGGTACCCAACTCGGTTTAGCACGTCGATAGTCGCGCACAAAAACACGATCACCTTTTTTAAAATTGCCTCTCGCACTCACTTTATTACGTTTCACTCCCGAACTGTTTCTTGTTAGTCTCCTCGGATCTCTCCCTCGTTTCTCTTTACGCAAATGCTGCCGCTTCAGCTGCTCTTCTGGTAAAATGAGGTCCAACCGCATGCGTAGCTTTCTTCCTGTCAAGAGTTCAGCTGGAGTAACACCCGTACTACTGTGAATGGTGTTCCTGTAGTGCAATAGGAAACGGTTTAATGCAGCGAAAAGATCTGTGGATTTCCTTTCTTCCATGGCCCTTAATATATGAGTTTTTACAGTACGTACCGAAACCTCTGCTAAACCATTTGTGGCAGGATGATATGGTGGTGGTGTAATATGCTGAATTCCATTCATATATAGAAAATGCTTGAAACATTCCGACACGAATCAACGTCCCTTATACGATCTTTGGCAATCCCCACCGACTAAATAATTCGCGTAGCTTATCTATTGTATTTTCCGAGATAATATTCTTCATATAAACAACTTCTATCCACTTCGAATGGGAATCTACCACAATTATGAACATTTTATTATGCAGTGGACCAAAAAAATCAATATGCTCCCTTTCCCACGGCTGTTCAGTTTTTGGCCACTCAATCACTTCAGCTTTCGGCGGATTGTTTCCGAGATTGTTTCTGTGTTTAGAGCAAGCTAAACAATTTTTGCAAAATTCTTCGACGTTTTTATCGCACGAAGGCCACCATACAAATGATCTAGTTAATGATTTACTCTTAACTATTGCCATGTGTGTCGAATGTATCTCTTTTAAAACTTCTTTCCTGCAACGCGATGGTATGATTAACCGATGTCCCCACATCAATAGGTTATCTTCTATTGTAATTTGGTCACGCCTAATATAATAAGGTTTCAGTTCCTCTTCTTTGCAGTCACTTGGCCAGCCCTGTGACGCAAATTCGAAATACTTTTCGCAATATTTTGTCGTTCCTAGTTTCTTCTTGAATAAATTTCTTATCAAGCCGAAAAATATCTTGTTTTTCTATTAAGTTTAAGTAGGTAAAGTTTTCGTCGTCGTCGTCCAAGTAATTTTTCATCTCGGTTTGATTGTCCTCAATCAATCTAGATAAACAATCTGCTACATTTTTATCCGATTTAACGTATCAATGGTGTAATCAAACGCTGACAAAAATACCGCATATCGTTGTAAACGGTTTGCTGCCATTATCGGAATACCTTTCTTTGGGCGTCTTTGGGGTGACTAATACAAAATGACGACCATACAGGTACTGCGTAAATTTAGATACACCAAAAATTATGCTATAAGCTTCTTTATCTATTTGAGAATAAGCCCTCTGAGTGGTTGTCAAAACTTTAGACGCAAAAGCTATTGACCTTTCTTTTCCATTTTCGTATCGGTGTGTCAAAATTGCACCCACTGCGGTTGAAGAAGCGTCCACTGTCAACTTTACAGGAACTGCAGAGTCGGAGTGTGGTAATACATGTTTAGAAAATATCGTTTTCTTCAAAGTCTCAAATGCTTGATCGCAAGTTTTATTCCAAATCCAAGAACTTTAGTCTTTTAACAACCTATGAAGTGGTTCACACATACCGGCAAAATTTGGAATAAAAGCACGATAATAGTTAAACATCCCTAATACTGACTTTAATTCCGATTTATTTCTAGGAGGTATCGCTTTTAGTAATGCATCTACCTTTTCAGTGGAAGGTCTGAGCCCTTCTTCATCTATTACAAACCCTAAGTAATTAACAGATTTTTGAAAAAAAATTGCATTTTTCTCTTCGCACTGTTAATCCATACTTCTCTAATTTATTAACCACCAAATCTATTCTAAGAAGATGTTCTTCCTTATTTGTTCCCGCGATTAAGTTATCGTCAAGGAAACACGTAACGCCTTCCAACCCAATTAAAACTTTCTCCATTATTAATTGAACAATCGATGGAGCTGTTTTAATTCCATACAGCATTCGGTTATACGCAAATAAACCCAAGTGTGTACTTATGGTTGATAACGATTTGGCCTGTTCGCTTAATAAAATTTGTTGATAAGCCGAACTTAAATCAATTTTGGTAAAATATGTACCACCCGCTAATTTGGAAAATAAGTCCTCGGTTCTGGGTAGAGGGTAGCTCACATTTTTCAAATATGGATTTAGTGTGATTTTGCAATCACCACATATTCGGACAGATCCATCTCTCTTCAATACCCTATTGGAGATAGGACGTTTTCGGACACTAGCCTATGTATTTCGCGTTCCACCTTTTCTTTTAACGAGAAGAGCTGGAAGTGGACGGGGTTAAAAAAATGTGGGTTCCGTCCCTATTTTAAGTTTTATATCGACCACTGCTTCCGTAAAAGTGCCTAATTTATTATTAAATACTTGAGGGTATTTATAAATTATTTTCTCCACGTCGCCGCCAAACAGTTTCACATTATTAATTACTTTAAAATTTTGCTGATTTTTACAAAACCAATCACGTCCCAAAATTGGTGGTCCACCATATTTAATTACAAAAATACTAAAAAATCAAAAATTAAAAAAACTAAAAAAATGTTCGTTGTTTTCAGCGAAAATTTTATTTTTATACTTTTTTTAGTTCAGATTCTGTGTTGTGTTGAGGAAAAGTGTGTTTTTTAGTTTTTTTAATTTTTTTATTTGCTTTGAATTAATTGATTCTGTTGCTTTGTTTCAATAACCAATAAACATTCTTTCATCTCCTCGTCCTTGAACCTCTTCTTTCCTGGTACAACTTTTTGCATGAGGTACAAAATACTACTATCAGCAACAACCGTTTTGGAAATAAAAACCTTAAAATTAATTTGTCCTGAAAATTAAATTGGTACATTACATTAGAATAGTCTGAAGCGATTATTATCCATTTAAAAACAGCGAATTTAAAGGAAAGATTCGTGTTCTTGGCATAGGTTTTGCCGCCCACTGTATTTTCGTCAAGTTTCCTCAATTCACAGATGATTGATTGTGGAAATGGAATTGAATTAACCTTGATTATTTAATTAAAAATACTTGCAGTCATGGGACTCGTGGTATTTTCTGAATTTTTATACGAAACGTTCCTCAATTTAAGTGTGGTTTCTTCTGCACCCGATAGCATCTTGAATCAAAGAGAATTTTGGTAGTTTTATTACAGGACATTAATGAAGGTTAGATTCTTCTGATATCAATGTTTCAGGTCTCATTGGTAAGTAATCTTTTGAAGTCTCCGCTCGGCATTCTTGTGCAGCAAAGTTGTACTTTTTATATTTACTATATCAATTAGTTAAATATGTAGCTGTAAAGAAAATTAGAATTTGTTTAAGGTGTCAATTTTTGTATTTGCAATTTAAAGATAGGTTAGTCACAACAATGGATGTAGTCTTTACCTTTTTTTTTGCTTTTAGGATGAAAAAGAAAACAATCTTGGTATCACATTAATTAACTTGTTCACTAATTAATTAATGCAATTAAAATGAGTATAGGAGACTGTTGCAGTAGGTCTGTAATATTTTGTAATGATGTCTCCAGGTTACGTAAAGGTGTGCGATTAGCCCGGAACTCAATTTTCCGTTTTAAATACAAGAAGTTGAGAAATGCCTGTCGGAATAAGAGAAAGAACAGAAAAAATGAAAAGTAATACTTTAGTAGGCATACTGTAACATTACTTTCGCCTTACTACCACCGATGTCACCTCATGCGGATAAATACGCACTTTAATTAAGTTAAAATTGGCTGAAATTCGTAGCAAAGCGAATTAAACCGCAAATTAAGAAGAGGCGAGGATGAGGTGCGTCAGTTCTACTGAAATTGTCGAAATGCTCAAATTCAAATGACTGACTTCAACTGCCCAGGCGATTCTACCAATTTACCTTCATGTGTGTCGCATGAGTCGACTATTTCCATCCACTTAGCTGCTCTGAACAGCCTATTTTGATAGGTACTTTGATTAAATAACCCTGCTCCTGACATTCTTTAGTATGCCCAAACTCGAACATTTAGAAATTGAACATCGGAGGATATTTTTGTGTGTGGATATTTTTTGATCTTTAGTAATTGAACTTGTAAAGTTAAAAATGGATCTTTTATCCCAATTTTCTGTTTCTTAGATTCATTGCGATGGGGTTGGATTATTGTAGTCTAGTCTAGCGTTGAATCTTTGCTATCGCATTTAAAGTTTTTCGTTACCGCCGTTTCTAGCCAGATCATAATTAAGGCGACCGTTAAATTTACACATTTCCGTCCGGCAAAGCAGCGTGTATTTTCGGGATGGATGCCGGGTCTAGAGAGAGATATATCGTCGAATTTAAGATGTGTCCAAAGTTCTTCCGCTGACAAATAATTTTTAATCTAAATTCTGAAGACCCACTGATTCACTTCTGTTTAATTAAAATTATAAATTCGAGCCGAATAAATTACACAATATTTACAGTTAACCAATCTCGCATGTGCTGGCAAGATATTAGTATATTAACCTAATTTATGCTGCATCTCCGAAGATAATGTACTCATCGAATTTATCCGGGACGACGGAATTAGTTTTTGTACCCGCTGATTGAGTCATTCTCTCTTGTAATATGGTTAAAACAGTACGGCATAAATTTTTATGTTTTACTACAATCATGTTTTAATTGGAATTATTTACGAACGGAAGTCTTAATTTGTATGGCGACTAATTAGTATGGATAGAAGGAGAGAGGCTAGCAGAAAGGGGTTTAATTAATTCGTTGTGTTGAACTCGAATATTTTTTGCCGTCGGAGTTATTTTTGACTAGAGAATTTAACCGGTTAGGAAAATTACCAAATCTTGACCGTGTCGTGATAGCCAGAATACATTACCATATAATCCATACGATCCGTCTGAAAGTATTCGGAGGGGTTCCGTGTTTTATGTTCCGTTTTAAGGACAAATCCATACGGGGTAGCTCGAGATACCTATTCTTTATTTTATTTTATTAGGTATACAGCGGATGCTGGGACAAATGTCGCCTGCCTTGCAAGTTATGATCTTAGCTATTTTATAAGCGAGCTTTGTTTGAAGCGGCCTTTACCGTTCTAGCTTACTGCTGCATTGTTTGTTAAAGCTTTGTTGAACACGGGTAATTAGGGTTAAAGTGCCTGGACGTATGTAATCGATCTTGGCAATAAACTAATTGTGCTCCTATTATGTTTGCTTTTGGATATTTATTATTCGGGCCGTGTTGACGTATAATTAAAAAAGTTCTCTTTATTGTTGCAGGATTTCAACCGGTGATGACAGCTGTAGCGACCGTTAGCGCAAAAACCCACGCGAGTACAAGGTCTAGTCCGTCTCCTCCAAACCCGTTGACGCCGGACGTCGTTTTTTCTGGGGCGACCGCAACTGGTGTACACCGAAGTAGTTTATTACAAGAAACCGAAAAGACTGTGCGAAATCAAGTTAATGTGTGACATTATAATTTTGGTGCGTTTCTCGCCAGACGGAATGATTAATTTAAAGTTCCTAAGTTACGTGAAAGTGAAAAAGTGGCGTTGTTTGTGCGAGTAATGGAAAGCATCTAGTGTCGTAAACTAAATAAAACTTATTTGTGTAAAATGTGTAAAGAACTAGTCTTAAAAAATCGACTGCGAACCTATTATAATAAATAATATTGCTGCTGCCAAGTGTAAATTACTTTTCGCTAAACCATTTTCAACAAGTTAATAACATATTCGCCCCGACGAAGCTATGAATGTGTAAATCCTTGTAAAGTGCTAAACTTATTCTAATTGAATTTCAGTATACCTGTCAAATATTTGGACATTAGATGACGTAGCCAGATTAATGTTCGTATTAGTTTAGGTTCATACGTCAAATATGTGGTCCTCGTTCGTATTTATTTTCGTAGAGGTCAGTTGATCTCCAGGTGCCGAATAAAAACTTGTTACAAATGGACTTAAAACATTTTCTACGGGAATTTAATTGTTCCACTTCTTTGCTTTTATATTATACTATGAATTATTTGACTCGAGCACTGCGGGATCTCAACCTAACCGATTATTAAATTAATTTCGTTGTAAATACTTTATTGTATTATAATTATCTATTATACATCATATAAGTTATTTTTCTATTAAACGTGGTCTTAGTCAAACCCATGGCTAAATGTACATATAATTATTATAATTATTATAAGTGGAACTGAATGGCGTTTTTATTTTAATCACCAACTTCCCATCTCTCCCTTCTCTCGGTTCGACAAAAATGTCAAGTTATGGAGATGGAGACGGCAGCAAAAGCAAAACTATCGCAATTTAGAAATAAAAAAACTCTGACCGTTCAATAAAAGCTTCCTAGGAAAATGGAGTAAAACTTTCCTTTTTTGTAGTTATCTTACAGACAGAGTTATAAAACTTTGAGCAGAAGATACGATGCCAACTCGCATAAAACCAGCCTCACTCCCTGTTTTATCCGGTACGCATCCAACAAGAAAATATGGCGGAGTCAAGTAAACGTAAAATTGCATCTTCACTAGCACCTCATAAAAAGTTATAAGGTGAGGAACTTTGTAGATACCAGAAATAATATTGCCACCGCTTCGCTACGAAAACTGCGATGTATGCGCAATTTTGTAGTTTTTACCGATGCAATCATCCGACCTAGTTTGAATATGAAACTTTGTAAACTCTACATAAAGAAAGCTTTTTAATTTACAAAGTTGTGTATTGCTGGAGCGTAAGCTACTCGTGCAAGTTTAAATTTTTGAATGCCAAAAAAATGTGTAAATATCTAATTTGCATTTTACACGAGCTTTCCAAGCCTACCTTACATTATTTAATAGAATTTTGTTGGAGTAGTCTCTAATGCGCATACAGAGAAAAGTTCATAATCTACTTTTGCTTTAACGCTGATTAACGTTGTAGGGTATTAAGAAACTTTCGTGATGTGTACGTGAACTTTCATCATCTCATTTTAACAAGAGGAAAATATCATTTTTATGTACGAAAGTCCCAGGCAAATTTATTATTCAGTAATTAATCCAGGTCAAGGAAGATAGGGATACACGCGAAACGGCCGAAAAGAATTTTAAATCAAGTAAAAACAAGTCGGTAGGTAGCGAGTTTCCAATTGCCAAATACCGCAACTTTCAACCTAGCTCTAACAAAATTAGAATATTATACTGAAGTATTTCCAACTCAAATTCAGTGCGGGGTTTAAAAGTTTGGTCGCCTTTTTTCGACACTTTTTCGCTTTTATTTCCTAAAAGTAAGTTTATCGTGGTGGACAAATTTTATCAACACGAATGAATACTATAAAAAAAAGCACTTGGTACAATTTAAATGGTACGTTTCCAAATACGAGCACCTTAAAGTCTTATTTCTTGATATTTTTGTATTTCGTTCGTTCGTTGGCTATATAGGACTACGACTAGCCTGCAAAGAAGTTGTCTTTTCATGAAAAAAGGAACAATTGGCGTGAAGTAACGATATTTCCTTGTTCCATTTTGGAACGTACCTAATTACATTAACATTCAAAACAGTTTTCCTGAAAATTGAAATGTTTAACCTCATTTTTAATGATCCACATAATTCTCTTCATCATAAAATGTTCCAACAGTCTGCTTCAAAATCTTTCGATGCAATGCTCATTTTTCATTTTGGGTTGTCTTGTCGTCTTAATGAAGACTGAGCTAGCAGTTCTGTCATGTGTAGCTCTCGGTAGAAAGCAAATAGTAAAATGAAACTAGGTATATTCTTCAAAAAATTGTTTTGCCAAATTTTAAACCAATCGTTTGTGTCCGCAATTTCTTTGGATGTCAGTTCTTTGGGGTGTTTTTTTTCTTTGAGATCATAGAAAGGTTTCAACGTCTCACCTATAGTCGCCATTCGATTAACAATCGCTTTTGTTTTTGATCGATTAACACATGCCTGTATTGATATCCATTTTGGCAGAGTGCTTCCTCACGCGCACGTAGTCGTGGTCTCGTGGAGGATGATTTCTACTGGATCAAGACTACTCTTGCTCTTGGGCATCTTTAGCCGAAATTCAGCAAATTCCAAAATAATTTCTTGTAGCCTTAGCAAAGGATTGTCGCACAATTATCATTTTCAATCGCTCGTCTGGGGTGGTCTTCGTCTTCGGGTCTTCAATGTCCAGTCTCGAACGTAATATTTAACGATTGGATGATTACCTAAAATTTATGATGACATGGATGTCCTTCACGGATTTCTCCTGCAGATTGTATCTCTTTCGTACTGAAACTGAAATGCATGGCATTGGTCGTAGTCATTTATCTTCTCGCTACAGAAAACACGGAGCTTAGCTGCTATAAACTTTAGACAGACGACTTCCATTTGATAGACTGTTATACACTCGGTGCTACATCTACAGGACTGTGATCATATTAGACTCGATTTATGCTTTTTGCCAAATTTATCATTAAATTGATTGGTTTAAAAATTGGTATATTTTGCTATGGTTACAATATTATTTCCACGATTGTTTGCAACTCGGTGCCATCATCTTTATTTCCATGTTAATTTCGACAAATAGAACATATAGTACACCGCTCTAGGTATAGACTCAGGACCTGAATTCCTGTACCGCCTCGTAGAGCCCCTTGAACGATACGTCCTACGTCGTTTTTCACTGCTGTGTGGCTTTTGGTAGTTATGGGCAGTAGATTATCATTTAATGATTTTTCTTGCTGCAGATGCCAAAGGTTTAACCTATTGAATCCACAAAGACTCGAAGTCAATAAACGGTAACATTTGGATCTACATAAGCCACGCTTGTCGACCTATATAGCGCGGTGGCCCGGAAACTCGACTGCGGTACTAAGGGTACATGGTTCCGGGTGTTGCGTCCCCAAACTAAAATTGTTCCTTTGAAATTCGTTCAAAGAAATTATCTTTAGTACACCCTGTATATAACTATTTCGTCTGTCCCTGTATATATTCCGACTTGTTATGTGCGGCGCATGAGCGGATTCGCCGAACAACACAGAGGCTCCCTGCGTGAAAGGGCGAGTAACCTTCAGCTACCTCTCAAGTACCACGCTATGGGAGGCGAGAGCGACGTTTGAACTACACTTTGAGATATTTTCCACGGTCACTTTAACCTGATCCGAGGAGACAATAAGATACGAAGAATCGCATACGATTTTCAGTAGGGGAATTTTTTGACACTCAGCTCGCATTCGGAAACATGACTTAATGCGGCTCATATGCAATAGTGCAATCCTTAAACTTTTAGAAATCGTTTGACATCGCTGTATTTTTTTTCGAGTTAGACGAGGAATAGACGGACGGACAAAATAATCTTTCGAAAAATTTCTTTAAAAAAGATATGGCTCATGTTGAGAGGGTTTGTTTCTATCAAAAGGAAATCGGCAAAAGAATCACAGTAAGGGAATTTTTCGACCGAAAAAAAATTTCCCTCATGTGATGGTTTTGCCCGTCCGTCTGTCTTACAGGGAAATAAAAACTAGGATTCGTCTAAAAATCAAATGCACCGGCCCATTATTAAGTTGTACAATGTCTTTGAGGATACATTTTGTGATATTTGTAGTTTAGGGGAGTTTCTCCCTGACGACCTTAGCAGTGGTTATATACTTTTTATTGTCATGCAGTGACTGAATTTTCACTTAGTTGTGTCGATCTGACCTAGTATCACAAAAAGTAGGTACATGTATCACGTACTTGCAAAAATTACCTTTATATTTCCGTTGTATAACGAATTGAGACAAAACTGGTTTATGTTTAAACTTCAAATCAATTTTCCTCAGTTGATTAACCTATTGTGCAGCTATTTAGTAAATGTACGCTGTTTCTATTACAGACCTAGTTGTCGAAATCGATACTTAGTACTTAGAATGAGATTTAATTTGTTTCTTCCTTATTTCTCATTAATTTACACAAAGCTTCCCATAAATGAGCATGATCCTCTGCGCTAGAGTCCGCTTACTCCATTTTATACTATTCCAATCAAACGTTTTTTTTTCTTTTTAAATGCAAACAACAGACTAAACAAAAAAATCAATTAACCTCTTTTATTATATTCAAGATATCCTTGTCGAATATCTGTGAAACTTTTTTGTATTGAAAACTTTTATATAACTGGCCAGAACATCTCACGTGAACTTACACCGATTCAATTTATAAAATAATTCGTTCGTATCAGACCTGCGGTCGTAACACAACGTTTTAAATTAAAACTACAAACCCTGTTTTTTTTTGTACAAAAACAACAACTGAACCATTCGTCGATAGGGTAGTTAAAATGACGGTAATGTTTCTGATTCCATAATTTAAACTAACTACAAAAGCTAACTACAAAATTTACGGTTTACAGGGCAACTAAGGTGTGGAATTAGCATTTCGGGCCCTTTTAAATCAAGGCCCTGTAATACATCATCTGGTCTTGAATTTTTAAAGATGATAAACGAATCCTTGTGATCGTTGGTGTACATATCTACATTTCCAGGAAGTTTTGAAGCCTTCGGGAGAAACCTCTCTTACTACAAAGGTTCAAATCAGGATCTGTGCTGAGCTTTCACTGTACTTGGAGCAGGATGTGTGCCAATGGCTGAATGGCGTTTTTTCCCATCTAATGGTTGATACTGGGTTAGTAAATTATTCCTACCTTCCCTTGTCCTTTTTAGTTCTTTCCATTGAGCCCCATTTTTTGCTTGTTAATTGTAAGTCACAATTCCTAAAACATTTATAAACAGGATTTTGCAAGCTTAAAAACAAATGTTTTAAACACCAAAGTTATCCACCATTTCACTTAATGCTTCGTTGAAATTCCTATCGTGACTTGCATTTGAGAGATTAATTTCATTTGCATCTCGCGGATTTCGACGTTTTAATGAACGAAGGTACGCTGCACTTATTTAAGAGCAACCCACTTTTAATCAATCGAATGTATTTGCGACCATTCCTCTTGTTCTGTGATTACCTTCCGAACATCCGTCTCGGATTTAATGGTGCAACGTAGTCTTGTGGCCAACTAACTTTAATAGAACTGATGCAATTAAATTCGCTAAAAATAAACTAGAAGGTGGGTAATTGATGACCAAACTAGATACAGCACTTCCTGGTGCTCAAGGGCTATCCGCGTAATTTAAATCGACTTTTATACTTTATTTGAGAGAGACGGTTATCGCGATTTAAAGTAAGTGCATCAATATTTCGTGCCATGCTTA